CCGCAATACTTTTGCGAGATCTCGCAAAAGTATTGCGGGATCTCTCAAAACTCTCAAAACTCTCATTTGACTATATGATCTGGTTGAACTGTAAAGTGCCTTGAGATGACATGTGTTGTGAATTTGGCGCTATATAAATAAACTGAATTGAATTGAATTATAGTATAGTTGCGTTTCTAAATAAAAGAGTGAGTGAGCGTTCGGATGAAAAATAGTTCCACAATAATGTATAAAGTAATACTTTATGTTATATTACATATAATTGAGTTAGTTGCCTCCAGTTGAGAAGTTGAACTGTTTTGGTGGCAGTATATGCTGGGTTTGATTCCCAATGTGAGGAAATAAATATTTTATTTTTTTTATTTATTTATTTACTTTTTTTCCAGATACATGTGCAAGATGGTTCTGTGAACAGTACCTTGGCTTGAAGGAAGATTTCCTGGAGGAAGTTCGGAGGGAATCTAATTGGAAACGTCCTTTATGTTGCTGAAACCAAAGTTCCATTTGGAGAAACATTGTAAATGTTCTCAATGCTTTAATGATGGGGTTCAGTGCGGTGGCGCAGTTTCTGATAAGTCTACGCTTTTATTTTGGCACGTAAAGAACATTCAGTGATTCGCACACACTTTAAAGCATCCCTTTCACCTAAATCTGCGTGCATTAGTAGAAACTCTGCTACATATCACAGTATTTTGTTTCGGCAAACTGTAGCTTTGTTATTAAAGAGAAAGGAAAGTTCAGTACCTTTGTTGGAGCCATCTGTCCTTTCTTGGAGCCAAGTCCTCTGTAAACAGTGTCGCGCTTTTATGAAGAAGCTTTTAAAAAAATCCCTCTTTAACCTTTAAAAATGCTAGAAATGTCTCAGACTACATGTGATACAGCGTATTTTTTAACAAAACACACGAGTCAGCTTTCGACTCTGCTTTCCCCTGTTGTTATAAACCAAGACCGGGAGATGCGTTTGAAGGACTCAAGAATGTGATAATGGAGATAGAGAGGCGTAAAAATTTTAAGTAATAGTAAGAAAACTTGAACAGCGGAATAAAAAAATGTTGAAAGGCCAAATTGTGTTGTATGATTACTGGGTGGCAACGTCAGCAGGATAGTTTGAACTGTATAACGTGAAAGCCATTATTTTTTCCGGCAATCCTTAAATGCGTCACACGGTTCCAAACAACGTGAAACGTGTTGATAATTTCTGAAACATTCTCTGCCTAAATTTAACAAAACTAAAATAGAGAATTTCAGTGGGATTATTTATAATCTCAAATATGTTTTTTGTTTGTTGGTTTGTTTTTCTACAAATTAATCTAAGAGTGTTTTTGGTAGTTCATGTATTAACGTTAAAGTTCAGGCCTTTTTATAGAATCTCAAGCAGATTTATGTCTGGACATTGACTGTGGCCTTTATGATTAGTGGTTTGTTTTGATCTAACTGTGACTGTATGCTTAGACTGCTTTACTGATGAAATCCAGGCCTCTCACCCAGTTCTCAGTAAAGCTGTCCCCTCCATTATCTCTGATCAGTACTCCTGTCCCTACTTAGGAAATGCATGTCCTCAGAATAATGCTGCCACCATGTTGCACAGTTGGGGTACTTGTGCAGGGTAAAACTTCTGTGTTAGTTTAACACTATAATGTTTATACTCAGGGCCAAAAATTTCAGTTTAACTGTCACCTAACCAAAACACTCTTTTCAATATATGGATTGTGGGAACCTGAAATTGGTTTCAACAATTGATTTCTTCTTGCGATGCTCCAGAACAAAGACCAGATTGGTGGAGTATAACTTTTAGTTTTTCTAGATGAGATTCTCTCATTTGAGCTATAGATCTCTGCAATCTGCATGCAGCTTTTGCCCATTCCTATTCACAAAATGGCTCCTTTGCACTGAATGCAAAGTATCTGAAAAAAAAAAAAAAATGTCCACAGAATTTCCTTTTAGAATATATCAAATTTGCACAGTTGGCAAGACTTTTATCAAGCAGTAAGATTGCATTGAGTTTAAAGTCTAGCTTTGGGTCTTATGCATTAAAAATGAATGCACTCCATGTGCCAATTATAAATTCGATTCATAGATTCTCTCTAAGTACTCTGGCTTCCCCCAACTGTCCAAAAAGATGATGTTAAGGCAAGAGGTTACCCACCTCTTGCTCAATCACCTGCCAGACATAGGCACCAGCTCCCTATCATGACCCTGCAAGGATAAGAGTTTTTATGGATGGATGCATTTCATTCATGGATATTATTGTAAATGGCATGGAATACAAACAAACACTGTATTTCACAATTATGACCAACTTTAAGTCTATCACATGAATCCCAAAAATGACATTCAAATGTGTTATCCAAAAATCGCAAAATAGCAAAAAAAAAAGTAGAAAACATATGACCAAGCACCATATAGTTGGTATTATTGTTAGGAACTACTTTCTTTTAGCTTGAGGTTCAGATTCATCATGAATGGTGGGCTTATTTTATAAATCAGCATATCTGCATAAACAACTGTAAGTTAGTAATCAATTGGGGGATTTAAAAAATAAGGGTTTTAGATTAGTTTGGGAATGGTATGAAACAGGGATGATAATAGGTTATGTTGATGCAATACAAGCCCATTTTTGTTAAAAAGTCGACAGTTCTGTTCTGTTCTGTCGTGCTTTGGGTGGTCTGAGACTTCCTGCTCATTAAGTATCAAAAGTAACCAGCTCTTTCCTGTCTCTCTGCCACATTAGGAAGCTGTAGGTTTTATGCACAGCTGGACGGACACCAAGAAGACATTTGTAGAAATGTTCAAATGTAGCATTACTTGCGCAAATAGTAAAAGTCTCTGCCAGATACAGTATGGTGTTGCAGTCTGTTTCTTTCCATCCTTTATAAGGACTTCAAAAACAGAGAGGCTTCAAACATGTTATGCAGTACAGCTTTGGATATTTGTAGTGCAGTTGCCCAACACAGTACCAGAAATGTGTTGACCACAGTTCTTAGGGGGAGGGCAGGGAAACGATTTTGAGGAAATTGGTGTAAAGAACTCCTCCTCTGCCCAACTCTGCATTCCTTCTCCGCACCCTTTTTTTCTTTTTAAGTGAATGGTCCCCAATGTTTCCACAGACGGAAGAAGAAAGGAAAGCAAAGGAACAGCAACTGCAAACACTAGTAGATAGAGGTGTTTATATCCTGCTGCTCTGAAGTTAACGGGTGAGTTTTTTTCTTCACAATAGTCTGGTGTGTGTAAACCACACCAAAAAAGATTCCTGCATTTGTTTTTTTTTTATGAGGGTGTTTACCAGAGAGTTTTCAGAAAGACTTTAAAGTCTTAAAGTATACTCAAAAGGAGTGTTTCACACAAGTAGAAATTTTGTTTGTTAATATGATCATATGACATAATAAAGGTTCATCTGTATATCGTCAGGGAAAGTGATGTAACCACATTCCTCTCCAACCATCTGACAATAACACAGCAAAGGAAGGAAACCAGTCTCTTTCTTCCAAGTTTAACTGCAGAAAAATTAGGTTACATTGATGTATTGCTTTAAAGAGTATATCAGTTGTGGATTATCAACCACTCTATTTATAATGTAAAGACAAAATTACACAGTGAAAGTGAACCAATGGTATATATAAATTCAATGTTAGACTGGAATTGAAAGGATGCTAAAGTTTCATGGCCGAACTTCAAGGATTTTAATAGTGTATTTGTTTTGGGATTGTTTTGGGAAGGTTGAAAAAAAAAAGCCTATAAGTCAGATAATCAGGCTACACTCTCAGACATGGTGCATTTATTTCAGATAACTAAAGTGAAGCAAAATGTGCAGAATGCAAAGACAAGGGTGGACCAGTGTTAACATCAGACAAACCGATCTATGGAGAACCATCTGATAGTGATGAGAGTTCACTGAATATAGGGATGGAAAATCATCCAGAACCCACTCAAGGATACAAGTCCATTTAAGCTGCTCACTTACCTCTCTCTAAATATGATGTTTTAGTTGTATCAAAATAATTTGACACCTTTAGGCAAAGCCTGCTCTCTCCCTATGACTGCTCATCTGCAGAGTAGAGAGTTTTTTTTTAAAGCTCATTAAGAAATATGCATTTCCTTTTTCAGGACAACAAGAAAGGCAGAGTAGACTGGCAGGGATTAGGATCTGTACCAAAGCAGGTCATCAGATTTCCTACTGGGATATAGGGCAAGACTTTGCTGCAGGAAAAAGCCAGCAAAGAAAGTGTATGGAGTATTTACGAAGAACAGAGTAAATTAACGAGGTCAAATGTGTTTTGGTGAAGATCTTTTAGCTATCTTTTTAAACAGAACTGACAATATAGGAACATACATATACATAGTTTAAAGCACTAATGATGCCAGCTTATTTGTGTTTTAAATATTTTTTTGCTTGATTTCAGAGAGCCTTTCATTAAAATTGTTTAAGTGTCTGCTTGATACTTTGTTATTTATTTCACTGCATTTTGTCTTCTCGACATACAAATAAACTGACTATTTATATTAGTTATTTTATTGTTTTTAGGTTTTTTTTTTTGCATTCATTTCATTTCTTTATATTGCTGTTACAGTTTTGGGGGGGCCAAGGAAGATAGACCAGATGACATTTTTATTGTAAATACATTGCATACTATTTTATTTTACTAGCGTTAACACAAAATTATATATACAGTGACTGGCCACTTTATGAGGTACACCTTGCTGGCACTTGTTTGACCCCCTTTTGCCTTTATGGCGTAGATTTAACAAGGTTCTGAAAACATTCCTCAGAGAGTTTGGTCCATATTGACAAGATGGAACCAAGCAAATGCAGCAGATTAGCTGGCTGCACATCCACATCTACTGAATTGAGATCTGGTGACATTGTAGGCCATTTGAGTACAGTGAACTCATTGTCATGTTCAAGAAAGCAGTCTGAGATGATTCACGCTTTTTGGCATGGCACGTTATCCTGCTGGAAGTAGCCATCTGAAGATGGGTACAATGTGATCATAAAGGGATGAACACGGTCAGCAACAATACTCAGGTCGTCTGTGGCGTTGGTACAATGCTCAGTTGGTAGTAAGAGGCCAAAGTCTGCCAAAAAAAATCCCCCACACCATTACACCACTACCACCAGCCTGAACCATTGAAACAAGGCAGGATGGATCCAATGGTTTTGATGTTGTTGATGCAAAATTCTGACCCTACCATCGAGAAATCGACGTTCATCACACCAAGCAACATTTTTCTGATCTTCAATTCCATTTTTTTTTCTGGTGAACCTGTGGGAATTGCAGCCTCAGTTGCCTGTTCTTATCTGACAGGAGTGGCACCCGGTGTGTTCTGATACTGTAGCCCATCCGCCTAGAGGTTAGCTGTGTTGTATTCAGATATGTTTTCCTGCATACCTTAGTTGTAACAACTGGTTATCTGAGTTACTTCTGCTTTTTTATCATCTCAAGGCTTCTGCAGTTCTCTGGATATTTCCTCTTTTTTGGACCAACAGCTCTTGTATAGGAAAAGTATTTAAACATTCAGGAATCAAGAATAATGTATCAGAATTATATCAGAAGACTCAAAATATGGATCTATGCATCTCTAGTAAATATATTCCTGATGCCATCATAGAGTGAACACAGCATACAGTGACTCCACCTTCATTTCTTTATGCACTGCTTGTAGTTTGATGAATTTGCAGAAATGAAATACATGGATAATAATAGATTTGAATGATACAAAGTGTCAGTGCAGAAGAAATGCTGCATGACTAAAGAGGTCAGAGAATTCCCTAAGGAGCTTTTAAAAATATATAAAAGGGGTGAGATTTTAGAATGTGTTTTGAGTCACTTGGAAAATATTTGTATAATTTAAAATAAATTTCTTCTGTTTTAATTCCTCAGAGTTGCTTGGCTATAGGATACATACATCTTGCTGCATACAAATATGGTTTGTCTGCTGGTGTCCATCACTTTGCTGCATTTGGTCAGCTTGGCCATGCTTTTCATCGCCACTCTGGAGAAGGTTAGACTCAAAACCAGGCTGAATGTGATCTATCCTTGTTTATACACTAGAGGTCACCATCCTACTTTGATGCTGAATGCAAGGCTGTTCAATGGTCCTATTTTAACTTCTTTCCCTTCCACAGTCCTGGTGGGTATGGACAGAGTCAGAAATCACTGACCTCTGGCATAACTGCTTCTATATGAACACCACACAAACCTGGGTGTGTGCAGCCACAACTGAAAGCGGTAAATAATCAACATATTTCCCACTTTTGTTTATGAACTAATTAATTAATGTAATTATTCTTTGATTATTTGATTATTTAATTTTTTTTTTAAGTAGTGGTGCTTTTTGATGTCTCCAGTTTAACTTTACGCTCTTTTCGTTTGTCCCATCAGACTGGCTTCAATCGGTCCAGGCCCTCATGATCCTGTCTGTGGTCTTTTCATCTGTTTCCTTGCTGGTGTTTCTGGGTCAGCTCTTCATCTTATCCAAGGGGAGTCTCTTTTACTTTACAGGCCTCTGCCAGGCATTTGCAGGTAACTGAATACTTGATCCTGATAAATCTCAAAGGATGACTTACCCCCAAACTAACTTTTACCCCCTGTATGCATCGATGACTTATAGTGCTGTCTACGTTATTTATTAATAATGTAATTAATGCCGGGTATTATTTTGAAACTGTTTTGACAATGTACTGTAGATTTGTTGCAACCCTGCTTTTGTGTTCTGTCTGGCGCCCTCTGGTTTTAAGGGGCTCACGGTATCCAGACTACCTTGTGTTGGCTTGCTTGATAAGAGACCTCACTCAGAGAAACTGATGTCAGCAGCTCTGTTCTGGGCAGCTTCCCTCAGCTCACTCACTCCTCCTGTATGTGATGCTTCTCTAGGGACCTTTAACAGATTTTGTAACTAAACACTTTTGGGAAACAATTTAAAAAGGTCATAGCAACTACTTTTTTTAATGTAAATGACACATTTTTTTAATATAATATATCCACAGAATGTCAAGAGTTGTAAAGAACAAAATAAAAACTTTACTGACAATATATAATATATACATAAGTGTTTTAAAAATATTGATTGGTCCAAAATATATAAATAGTTACCTCTGGTAGTAAAGATGCCAAATTCTACGTATGTTTCTGATCCAATGGGAAGAGCAGATTGAAGTCAAGTGACAAAGAGTTCAGCCGTTGCCTATTCCTATTTACTCTGTAAAAAAAAAGAAATGTTTCTTTCAATGTTATGTTTCTCAAATTCTAGCAAAAAAATTAAAAATAAGAAACAATAGGGTTAATATAGGTAGAGCCTTTAAGCGTTGATGCTGATTAAAGGAAGCAAAGGGGTTCAGAAGCTACACCGATGCTGTCACTTTCCTTCAGAAAAGGTAGGTTAGATGTAAGGGGACCTGGCAACCAGCTAAACAACACTATAGAACCAGAGCTAATTAGTATGAATGCACCAGTCACTGGCCAGGAGGAGCTAAACTTGTAGCTATCACATTTTACAACTTTGATGTCTTGAGACCCTGTGACATAAAGATAGTATCAAATCATTATATGACTAGAAAGATGAGGGACGCTTGTTTAAGCTGAATTTTAATGCATTTTTTTATTTTAAATATTTTTATAAGTAATGAAAATTTATTATGATTTTCATTTATAATAAGTTCACAACAAAATAATTTCTCATCTTTCAAGTTAAAAATAAAGAACTCACATAAATTTTGGGTTATTTTTTGTTTATCAATAAATAGAGTTTGGTTGAGATATTTACTGATTTCCCTTCCTGAACCACCATATGTGGAAGGAGGGAGCAGCCATTCACCAATAAGAACAGAGTGCGTGGTTTACTTCAAAGAGGGGGACTGCAGGAATGTCTAGCTCCAACAGTTCAAATCTATAACGCTCAGGACCTCTGGCCTTTTCCACAGAACCTTCCTCTTTTCCCCTCATTTTCCTAAGTCTCTAGAGGAGTAGTGGAGAGAATCCCTTTGCCTCCAAAATTAATAAAAGAAGAAGATGAAAACTGATCATGGAGGCTGCCGAGAAGCCTTTAGAAACACCAATGATTTCACAGTAATTCAATTTACAATAATAGCATGTTTCCCAAACAGAATAAAAAAGTTCATAAAAAAAAAGAAAAATGAAGGATTTTTTGGCAGATACTGTTTGTCTTCCGGGAGAACTGTCTTCCCCATGTGTCTTGATAACATGCTTGGATAAATATTACTGAGTGAAGATAAGGTATGAATAAAGGTACAGATTAAAGATGACTGACAAATCCACAGGTGTTTGAATACAGTATTTGTTTAGATGATTGCGCCTTATTTTTATTTTACACATACACCAATAGATTGGTTTTGCATATTATTCATACATGGTATTTATCATATTGAAAGTAAGGAAATGGTTTAAACCGTTTATCACACATGTCATATTAAGATCATATTATAGCCCTATCACAATTTTGCATATCTTGTACTCCTCTTAGGTCATACCAACTGGTGTCTTTCCAGGTTTCCCATTATTCAAATACTGAACTAAACGACTGAGTTCACTGTGTTGAAGCTGAGTGTGACCGCACTCAGATACTGTAATAGATTTGGTAAATATGACCCTTCTATTGTGTTTCTTGCAGCTTTCACTGACTTTGCTGCTTGCCTCATCTTCACCCTCCACAAAAAAGAGATTCTAAGCAATTCCAGAGATCTGAGCAAAGGGCGCCCTGGCTACTGTGTCATCATAGCATGGCTGTGCGTCCCTCTTCTTCTCATCAGCGCAGTCCTGTACGTTCATCTGCGGAAGAAACAGTGAATCAAGGATAAATATATGCAGACAGCGACCAGGTTTTTCTGACACTCTTTACCCTTAATAAGATAAAATTAGGAGAAATATTTCCAAGAGTGAACTTTTTTAATTTTTTTTATTTTTGTATGATGGTAACGTAAGGTAAGGTATCTAAAAATATATTCAGTTCTATTGAATTGTATTGTGTTTATCAGAAGCGTGTTGTGATTTGTTATTTCTGGAAAAAATGCTATATGAAAAAGGGATACTTACAGCTTGATTTCATTGTATTCTGAAATATAAAAATCGGTGAATAAACTCATAACCTGGTTTTTAATCTTTGTCAGGGATTGTTTTAAGGTTCTCTCTTTTTTTATTTTAGTGTTTCAATGACATTTTTTTTTTTTTTTTTTGCAAGGTCTCATCTTTGCTAAATAAGGTTTCTCTATTAACAGGACTAGGATTTGCATTTGGATTTATAATACTTTGCTTCATGCGTAATACAAAGGTGGTGCAAGCCTATACAACAATGCAGCTGCTATGAGAGGGTGTTCTTCTTTGTATTTTAATCTTCCCCAATTTCTGGAATTCATTGTTTATCTTTTGAAAGTATGACCACACTTATTTCTTAAGAACTGAATAGAAACATACAAGGAAGAGTTGTACGAATGGTAGCCTTTGTGAGCTTTTTAATTTTAATTTCCTACTAAATCAAAATGAAAGCGATATCATTGGACCTATTACTAGCTGAAAGAAAGGCCGCCTCAATCCATTTCCAAAATGTTGCGTATAAACCTACCTGTCAGGCTGAACCAGTCTCAAAGGAAAACTGTGAGGTGAACATCAGATAGCTGGAAGCATTGTTCAAAGCCCACACGCCTCTGGGAGAGGTGGAGGGAGAAACTAGAAGAAACATAACATCTCAGGCAGCGCTGTCATTTAACTACACCGCCATACAAAAAATGCTTCTTTTTTTTTTTCCTGAAACCGTACTCACAAACTTCAGCTATGAAGATTTTTAAGTTAGAAACCAACACAAAGTACAACAATATCATGAACGAAGGAAAGTAACGCAGGGTTTTCAAATTTAGTTTAAGGCAAAGGCACCAGCTTCCAAAATGTTTCTGTGTCACATATTTGGGCCGAGATAAACTGTAAATGGGATAATTTATGACCTAATTTCAAGAGTAAAATTTTTCATCTAAAGATGTAACTTCTTTCGGACTAGCATTGACAGTTAGCATCAAACTGATCCCGGCCTTCATAGATCCAAGGTGGATCCATAAGCATCAAATGCTAAGTCTCACTAAAGCCTCAGTATTGGTCATGTTGCTGAAGACACCACTGACGATGCACAAACCTGAACAACTGCTGTAACTGTTTCCACTCAGTTTAGTTCAATTCAGTTTATTTATTTTAGCAGAGTACTTTTAATGCTTATGTTAATGCAGTATTCTCCCAAACTTTAAGAGTTTAAACTACATGTACAGTTATTCTGGGGGTGGTAAATTATTGCATTTGCAATATAATGTTTTAAAACCTTTTTCCCTACATCCCTTTAGGTGGCAGTAATATGCATAAGTTGGGTTTTTCACCACAGAGCTGACCAGCAGATCTGTGCATACAGGTCTGGACCAGAGAGCATTCCATGTCACTTAAATAGGAACCAAACATTATGCACATGGTTAGTACATTTTAAATAAAATCTAAATTTAGGTATTTTTCATGACTTTGTTGAAGCAGGTTGAAGGCCTGAATTCAGGTTCTCTCTTCGTAGATACTGAATGTTCTACCGTCATTGTGTAGGATTTCTCTGGCTTCCTCTCACAGTCCAAAAGGCTGTGTTTTCATGTAAACAAGCATATGCATGGTTGCATGATTGCTGTGATGGAATGGCTACTTAGCCAGGGTGTACCCTGCCTCTCAGCCAAACCACTAGAGCTTTGAACTCGCCCCCTCTGAACCAGTGAGCACGTCTGGATAGTAGATGGATGAGTATCTATGTGCCAAATTTTGTTAATTTACCTCATACCTAAATGTACACTTTTTTTTTTTTGTTTAAAATCCAAACCTGTGTTTAAAGACCTTGTATCATTTTCATTTTGCTTCACACTGTGCAGGGATCTGTCACATAAACTCCACGTAAAACTGCATTTAAAAGTTTAGTCATAGTGTGATAAATTAAAAGAAAGCTCTGAAAAAGGTTTGTAGGATGTCAATACTTTTTGCAAGGCACTGAGGTACTGTGAGGGCTGAAGGGTTTGGGCGATGACAGGGTGTCTGACTCCGCAAAGCCGTGTGTCAGCTGCACTGAATGTCAGGAATCTGAGAACAATGTCAGCAAAAAGGAGTGGAAGAGTTTCAGGAGAGCGATAAAACTCACCCAAAAGGGAGGGACATGTGACGCACCACAATCTCACAGGCAACACTTCAGCTCTGAAAGACAAAGCAGGATTGCAGGTGAGTGTCATTGTGTTCTTTTTACAGGCAGCTAAGCACCTCTGCTTCCCAATTCTTCAAGTTATGGAGGTGAAGCTGCTGGTGTTACTATAAAATGTGGATACGTTTTTTTACATGAAGAGAAACAGGGGAGACTGTTGGAAAGAAAAAGCTATCTGATGCCCTCTGGACGGATTGTAAAATCTACTCTAGATTTTTATCTCACAAGACTTCAGTGAAGACATCAATACTGGATAACTGATATACTCTGGACTTTTATTGACAGCCTGGACATAGCAGAACCTTCTGTGAAGGGGATGAATGGAAGTTGGATTACCTTTTCTCTACAGATATACAATACACAGAAATAACAGCAAAGGTATAATCTGAAATCATGTCAGACTTCCAGGAAAAAAGTTTGAATGAGAATGTGGTTTTCCAGCCACTGGATGAAACCTGTCCACAGTTTCTTTACTCGGAGAGGGAGCGTGAGGCAGTGGAGAGACTCCTCAGTGGTGGGCCGGAGGCCTTTTACAGCTCCATTGGCCCAGAGCTCTCAAGCTGCTTCCTATCCCCCGAGGAGGTGAGTCAGATGAGCAGCTCTGTTCAAAGCTATCGCTCCAATGAGCCGCAAGTGAAAGACCAGCATGGATTTGAGACAAGCTTTGATTCTGAGAACTTCTGTTCCACCTACGACCCCACTATGCCGGACATGCCGGTCCCAAACCTGGAGCTCGGCTGGCCGCAGAAACCCACCTGGGTCCTCAACAACAGCGTCAAAGTCTACTCAAGTTCTCCTGCTGAGGGACAACTGCAAGTCAGAGAGGTTATCAGGCAAATCCTACAAACAGCCAGAACTGTACGTAAGATTAAAACAACTTATCTGTAGGTAGATTTGAAACAAGAAAGTTATTCTGACACCAAAGAATCATGGAAAGAAACTTAGATGTAATTCATTTTAAACTATTTAAAATGTATATCCCAAATGCATTGCTTAAATTTAAGTCCCAAATGCATGAATCATCAACTATAAATGCTCAAATTTTAATCCATTTTAAAAATGTATAGGGAGATTGGCTCTAAATCCAAAAGACTATAAAATGTGATTTAACTTGTTTTGCACTTTTAAAAGTCAGAAAAGTCAGATACTTTTGCTTCTGCATCCCACCCTCCAGCAGAAAGCAAACTCAAGCAGGTCAGCTGGAACCAGAACAGGACAAACACTGAGAAAGAACAATTGGAATTATAAGCTTCTTCAGTTACAGTTTTACTGAGCAGCATTTTAAAATACATTTCATATCAACAGACAATAAAAGACCAAGAAAAACTGGGTTGTGGTTTCTAAAATGTTCCTGTGTGTTGTGCAGGTAATTGCTATTGTGACAGACCAATTGACAGACAACACGATTATCTTTGATTTGCACACCGCTGCGTCCCGAGGTGTGCCCGTCTACATCATCTTGAACCAAAGATCCCTGCAGGGGAACTTCACCCTGAACAGGCTGAGGCATCCAGTGAGTAAACACACTACACATGGCCATTGTTATTTGATCACCACGGCTCAATAGGAGCCGCATCTGAAACATCCCAAAGACTGCAAGTTTGTCTTGTGGCGTAGGCATGCTTACGCTGGGAATGTTAAATGTTGATTTAACCGCATGTGGCCAAACTGGTTCTTCTGCATTCATTTCTATCCACGTTTCTATGGAGTGATGAAAATATAGTCTGATCAAATTAACAGAAATATCTTTGGTAAGATCAGAAAAAAGAAAATCATGGATATTGTTCACCATCTGAAGCCTGGGTTTTGTATGGCCCCCAATCACAATTCAAGTGAGGTATTTAGCCTACTAGCACACGCTATGCTCTAGATGGAGTTTTTAACTTTTTTAAAGACAGTTTTAGAGACTATTTAAAATGATAAAGATGAAAATGCTATTGATTTATCTTTCTATAGTCATATTCTTAGAGCTTCTTTTGTGTTTCCTAATAATCAATTAACCATCAGGTTTTTAAAAAAATCAGACCTTGGTGCACACAGATAAGCATTAAACTGATATGGCTTGGTTTAATATAGGAATAATATTTTAAGATAGAATACCCTAAATCCTCTTGTCTTTGGATGGAACATAATTTTATTTCTAATCTATATAACATATATTAATTAATGAAATGTAAACAAGCCCGATGGAGCTCCTGAAGAATCACTGGAATCAGGTGTTTTCTGTAATGTTCAGGAAATGTTCAGTCAGACTTCTGTACCTGTACGTTCATTCCACTGTTAATGAGCAAGGCACTTTCATTTGTCTGGGACAGTTTGTTCTTTAGAAATGTTTTCTTTTTTAAACAAAAATTCAACACAAATTCATTTTTTAACAAAATTATTATTTGGTTAATTTTTATTTGTTATTACTTCTTTAGTTGTGTGTTATTTGAAATACTAGTGTGAAAATATCATTTTCTTTGGGGTTATGTAAACTTTCAAGTGCAACTATATGTTTTGCCCTTGACTGGGCAATGCTAACACAACATGCAATACTTCAATCTGAGTCATTCCTCTGCAGCTTTTGCATTTTTGGTGTTTATGTCCCTGCTAGAAAGTAGACTTCCAGCATCTCTTCAGTATTTTTTCTTTTTTTTTTTTTAAGTAGCTTCTAACACTATGGTGTGCAAAAGCTTCAACTTATATGGGCCAAAATCAGGAAGTTTTTTGGACTTGTAGGTCACATAAATACCCATAAGCAATAGGCTTACAAATATACAGATATAACTGTCCTGTGAAATGTTTCATTTCTTTATTTTCTCAAGGTAACAGCAAAGTTCATACAATCAAGCCGTAATTATTCTAAGCACCTGGAAAGCAGCAGCCTTTGCCTCAAGCAGCTATTCAGCTTTCAGTATTTAAATATATGGAGGTTGGGTACATTCTCCATTTTACAACAAATATTTTCTCAAGGCAATTTACAGAGTCAGTGTGATCAAAGAATAAAGATAGATTGGTAAAAGTGTTCTATCTAAAGAAAGCCCAGGAGGATGCAGAACAAGGCTCAGCGTTACGGGCCTTCTGCCATGAGCGAACTTAGAAGGAACTAAAGCAACACAGAAGGTCTGATAATGAAGCACAAAATAATGGTAAACTAGCCTAATATGTGGTTTGTCCCTAAATAATATATATAAACAGATACAAAACTTTAAGATGTGTATGTGTTAAAACTTTCTCTACACTTTGTAATAACATTATGTCAAAGTAAATTATAGTAATTTCCCTCAGAAATGTCTTTCTTTCTTTTCTTATAAAACCTGTACGTTTTTTTTTTTTTTTTGGGGGGGGGTTTCCAGGGCATATTTGACAAAACTATGTAATACAGTGTTGCTAGGTTATATTGCATCGCTTTTAAGGACTTATTTATACATTAGAAAGCTAAAGTCCTGCTCTAGTTTTAAAAAATAGTATGCTCAACTCAAGCTTACTACCTTTTTCGGTTCAATTGTTGCCTTGTTGTTTTCTGCAGAAAAGGACTCTACTTCCTTGTGACTTTGCTTCTAACTATGCATTCAGTTTCTTTTTCTTATATCCTGTTTAACTTCACATTCCCGTTTTTTGCATTTGCTTTGCTTTGGACCAGTGAATATTTTTGCATTTCCGTTGACCTGGTTTGAACTATCGGGCTTGTATGCCTGTTTCTCTACCTGACCGAGACAGTTGAAGAGAAATAGACCCAACTGCAAGCATTATGTAAGAGCCGACAGTAAAGTGGAAACAAACAAAATTGTTATGATGGGTTCACTAAAAGCGACCCAAGTATGCAGAACACCACTGACGGACACGGGAATAAAAGTTTAACAGGTTTATTGAAATGCAAGCACACAGAAAGTACTTGTTCTGGTT